GATCAAATCCCGCCTGATGTCTAATCGCCTGTTGCAACTCAGGCCGATGCGGCGATTTTCCGCCGCGATGGACCCATCCGAGGACAGCCCCGCACAGGCCGCCGCCCGACCGCCGCCATCGCAGCGCCGCGACGCCCTCGACGTCATGGCGGGATCGAACGATCCGGCCCGCCTGCGATGCTGGAGAACTGCCGCCGTCGCCAGCAACCCGCCCATGCGCGCGAGCGGGGTGTAGCGCCACGCCGCCGATATCGGCACCGGCTTTCGCATCATCGGTGAAAAACCGACGAGCGCCCCGCCCGTCTCGCCCGTCCTGCTGCTGATCGACACCGGCGAATGGAGTCGCATCGCGGGCGGCGGGTCCAGCGCGCGGAGCTGCTGGAGACGATTCTGCCGATCTTCACCATTCCCTGGCGGTTGGGTGACCGAGGGGCATATTCCCGCCGCGCTCGCGACCGGCAGCCCCTATTTCCTGCGGCCCATGGCCCATGGGGGTGATGCCGCCGGGCGGCCATCATTTGAGCTTCGTCGCCTTCGACCCGGCGCGGGGCCGGACGGCGAGTGGCGGGTGCTGGCCGATCATCTGCGCAATCCGGCGGTGCGGGCTATGCGCTGGAGAACCGGCTGGCGGTCAGCCGCACTTTGGGGGCCTGCAAAACCGCCTGAATGTCCAGCGCCACGCCCCTTCTTTCGCCGCCTTCCGCGCCGGCTGGCTGCGCACGCCGCCGCGCCGACCCGCGCATCGGGCTGCTGACGCCGGGCCGGTTCAACCCGAGCTATCCTGAACAGGCGCATCTCGCCCGCTATCTCGGCCTGTTGCTGGTCGAGGGGGTGATCTCGCCGCGATCGAGGGACAGGTCTGGCGTCCGCACGGTCGCCGGATTGGAAGCGGATCGATGCGCTGTGGCGGCGGCTCGACCCCCGGATGCTTCGATCCGCTGGCCTTCGACAGCCATTCTCCGCAGATCGGCGTGCCCGGCCTGATCGACGTCTATGTCGAGGGGCAGGTGGTGATCGCCAACGCGCCGGGCGCGGGTGTGCTCGAAAGCCCGGCCCCGTCCGCTTTCCTGCCCGTGCTGGCCGAGCAATTCGCTCGACGCCCCGCCTGCTGCCCACCATCGCCACATGGTGGTGCGGCGGGTCGACGGCGGATTATGTCGCCGAGCACTGACGATCTGCTGATCGCCCCCGCTTCGGCCCCTGCCCTTTGGGCCTGCCAGAGGGCACCCGGCCGGGCGCGAGCCGTCGCCTGCAGAGCGCGCGATGCTGATTGCCGATATGGTCAAACGCCCGCAGGATTATGTCGGGCAGGAAATGGTTCGGCTGTCGACCATGCCTGTCGTCATCGGCGACCAGCTGGAGCCGTCCTTCACGCTGCGCGTCTTCGCCGCGCGCGATAGCGAGGGGCCAATGGACCGTCCTGCCCGGCGGTTTCGGCCGGATCGGCGACCATCCCGAGGCGACCGCCGCGATGATCGGCGAAGGCTATGGTCCGCCGATGTCTGCATCCACGGGCCCCAGCTGGTCGCGCCGATGTCAGCTGCTCGCCGACCCCGATCTGCATCGGCGTCCGCCGCAATCCGGGGAACCTTGCCCAGCCGCGTCGCCGACAATTTCTATTGGCTGGGCCGCTATCTGGAGCGGGGTGAGGCGCTGCTGGCGGCGATCCGGGTGATGCTAGGGAATTCGATCGACGCCGATGGCGGCGCGGCGCTCGATACGCGCACCGTCGGGCGACTGGTCGGCCTTCATCACCGGCGCGGTGCGGCCCCGCACCCCGACAGCCTGCACCGCGCCGCCTTCACCCAGTTCGCGCGCACCGCGATGGAGGATGAGGGCTGGCACCGGTCGCCCGCATCAATCGCCCGGCGCGCGGGATCAGCGAAGGCTCGCGCGATCGTCTGTCCGCCGACATGGTGCGGTTGCCCGAGGCGCCCTTCCCCAGCCAGCAGCCGGGATGCTCGACTGGCGGCTCGCTGTAACGCCGCTATGCCGCGATCGCCGGGCTGTCGGCCGAGCATATGGTCCGCACCACCGCCCGGCGCTCCACGATCTCGGCCGTCGGGTGGAACGCGCCATGGCGTGGCACGCGCGACGCGCCTGTTCGGCATGGCGGGCGCGTCTGCGGACGACCTGTCCACCCTGCTCGACTCGCCAACAGCCAGATCAGCTATCGCCAGCGTTATCCGACTGGCCTCGCGCGCGTCGCGGTGGTCGATCTGGTCGCGCTCGACCCCAACAATCCGCGCGCGCGCTGGCCTATCAGACCGCGCGCATCGCCGACTGCCTGTCGCGCCTGCCCGTCCTGTCCGACGACGACATGGCCGGAGCCGCAACAGGCCCAGCGATCGCGGTTCGTGCGGCGATCGAGACGGCGGACGCGCGCACCTTGACGTCGATATTGCTGGCGATGTCGAGCGGCGGTTGGGCTTGCTCTCCGAGCGATTGCGCGCCGCTATTTCCTGCAAGGCGCGGAGCCATTGCGTGCCGGGGGGCTTACCGCATGATCTACGACATCCGCCACACTACCCGCTTCGGATTACGGCGCGCAGGTCAAATATGCGGTGCAACCTGCGGCTGAAACCGATCGACCGGCCTGGTCAGACGCTGAGTCCTATGATTCGATCGTCGAGCCGGTCGGGCGCACCTGCGCGGCGCGGGCCGAGGCGGGGCTGGCGCATGTCACGCGGCTGGTCGATCGCCCGGTGCGCAGCCTCCGGACCATCGAGAGTTGCGCGCGGATGCTGGTCGACCGGCCGGTGCCGATGCCGTCGCCGAACGACCTGACGCTGGCCGAGGTGTCGGCGCCGCCTGATCGAGCTGCGACCTGTCGGCGGTGGGGCCGGCCAATTACATCTTCCTCGCCCTCATTCCGCTCGACCCCGCGATTGCGGAATGGTGCGCGGCCGACCTGTCGCCCGAGCGGGGTGCGCTGAAGCCGGTTTTGCGCTCGCCAATCGCATCCAGCGCGAATTCGCCTTCGACCCCGCCGCCACCTTTGTCGACACGCCCCGGCCGAGGCGTTCCGCCAGCGGCGCGGCGTATGCCGTGATTTCGCGCAGATCATGATCACCGGCCTACGCGCGGCGGGCATCCCGGCGGTCGGGTATCTGGCTATATCCGCACCCTACCGCCGCCCGGACAACCGCGGCTGGTGGGTGCGATGCGACCCACGCCTCGGGTGCTGATCTGGGGCGGCCGGAGCATGGCTGGGTCGGTGTCGATCCGACGAACGGCATCTGGATGGCGGGCGACTGATATCATCGTCGCGATCGGCCGCGACTATGCCGAGATCGCCCCCGTGGACGGCGTCGTACTGGGGCTCGGGCGCGGTAGAAGATGGACGTCAGCGTCGACGTCGCGCCTGTCGATGATCCGGTGATGGCGGAAACCATATTGTCCGACTGATCGTCACCGCGATTTGGGGGATCGATGCCATGATGGAAGTCCGACGACCAAACAGGGCGAGATCGGCATTCAGGATCATGTCGATCGCCCTGCTGGCGGGGTTCCTCGCCATTCTGGCCTATGCCGCAATCGGCTATATTGACGCGATGCGCGATGCCCCAGTCTGAAAGCGCGCGCCAACAGACTGATCGACCAACGTCGCGGCCTCGATGCTTTGACACCTGCCGAGCTGCGGCAATTGATCCGCGTCGAAGACCCCACCTTCTGGCACCATCATGGCGTGGGATAACGAAACGCCCGGCGCGGGCGTCACGACGATCACCCAGTCGTTGTCCAAAAAAACTCGCCTTTGACCACTTCTGCCGGGTTTCAAAAAAATTCGACAAACGGCCTATGCGCCAGGGCCCGAAGCGCGTTTGTCCAAGCGCCAAATCCCCGCACTCTTCCCGGACAGCGCGCAACTCAACTCGGGCCAAAGGGGCTGGATGGTGGGCATGTTTGCCAGCCAGCGAACAGCTATATGGCGCCACCCGCTGCATTGACCAAGCCACAATGGCTGAGGCTCGGCAGCCTTGGTCGCACCAGCCGATTTCCACCTTTATCGGCCCAAATCCTCGGCTTGACGAGCGCGTTCGCCGGATCGAGCGGCTATTGGCAGGACGCTGTCAACCGCAGGGCAATCGCGACGTCATGCCTCGACGGTTGCGCCTGACCAGAGCCCCTTCAGCCCGAAGGCATGAACTTGGGAACGGCGATGACAGGGGTCCACCCCCGTCCGTCACCGCATTGGGATTGTCCTTGTCTGGATCGGGATGGCTGCCTGAGCTGTGATAGCCGTCTCGCTCTGGCCACCAGGAAATCGCCCTTGCGTTCGGGGACGCCTTCAGCCGCCACCCCGCTCGCCGCCATGTTTGCCGGGCGCGTCTGAGACGCCATCGGGCGCCCTTCTTGGCGTCGCCCATTTTCCCGTCCTGCCGGTCGCCTGCATCGGCTCGGTCATGTTCCGTCTCCCTTGTCCGGCGTCTATAACGCATGGCAACGGATTGCGCCCGGCGCAGGCTTCCCAACATAGATCTGTAATACACTGGCAACGGGGGAACAGAGTGGCCGGATCCATATCAGACGCTGGGCGTAAGCCGCACGGCCAGCGAAGCCGATATCAAGAAAGCCTATCGCAGCTGGCGAAGAACCCATCCTGACCGCACAAGGACAATCCCAAGGGCGGCGGGAGAAGTTCAGCCAGTGACCAACGCCTTCTGCGACCTTCTGTCCGACAAGGACAAGCGCGCCCGTTCTGATCGCGGCGAGATCGATGGGGATTGCAATCCCGCCTCGCCCTTCGGCTTTGGCGGCGGGGGGTGGCCTGCGCCTGGGTGCGGGTGGCGGCGGGTTTCGCCAGCAATTCGATTTTGGCGGCGAAGGCGCTGACATGTCGGACATCTTCGAGGGATGTTCGTGGCGCTGGTCGCGGTGGATCCAGCGGCGGTTTCGGGGGCTTTGGCGGTGGTGGCCGGGCCGCGCAAAGGGCGCCAATATCGCCTATGCGCTGAAAGTCCCCTTCATTGATGCTGCCACGCTCAGCCCACAGCGCGTCACGCTGGGCGATGGCAAGACCATCGACCTGAAACTGCCTGCCGGGGTCGAAACGGGCACGCAGATGCGGCTGGGCGGCAAGGGTGAGCCCCGGAGCGGGCGGCGCCGGCGATGCGATCGTCACGATCGAGGTCAGCCCCGCATGCCTTCTTCACCCGCGACGGCGACGACGTCCGCCTCGACCTGCCGGTCACCCTGAACGAAGCGGTGCTGGGCGGTCCGGTCAAGGTGCGACTGTCGAGCGCCCTGTCATGCTGACGATCCCCAAGGGGAGCAGCTCGGGCAAGACGTTGCGCCTGAAGGGCAAGGGCTTTCACAAGAAGGATGGCGGGCGCGGCGATCAGCTCATCACGCTGATGATCGACATCCCGGCCGATGATGCTGAGTTGCAACGCTTTGCCGCCGAATGGACCGACGGCAGGAACCTGAGGGCCGCCATGGGCGTCTGATCGTTCCATGAGCGATGCGAACGGCCTGACCTCAGAAGAATGCCCATCATCAAGGCAAGGCCTGTCAGAGGCTGGACCGGCAGATCGCCAAGGTCCGGCCCGGCCTTTGCCTTTTGAAGTCCTGGAAGCGGACCAGCTCGCGTGTTCAACGACGGGTTCATCCATGCGCCGAACTCGCCTATCTGGCGTTGATGACGTTGTTTCTTTCATCACACCGCCGCGCTGCTCGCTGTTCGGACAGAGCAACGAGACCCAGCATGCGGTGGAGAGCTTCTTCACGTACTGCCCCCGATGTCAGCGATCTTCTGCGCGCCGATAGCCGATGTTCTGGCGGCGCGAACGGCCTCGCTGCTCTGGCTGGGCGGGCTGGTCGGGTTGTGGACGGTCGGCGGTTCTATCGAGACGATCCGCGACATCTTCCACCGCGCCTACGGCGTGAAGGCGACCGCCGCCTTCTGAAATCGCGTCTGTCCTCGACGCTGGTCATCGTCGCCTTCGGTCGATCGCGCTGCTGTCCTTCTTGGTCGCGGGCGTTCTGACCGCCGCCGAGCAATTCATCTATCGCCCGTTCCTTCGCGCAGGACGGCGGGCTGGGTCGGACTGTCGCGTTTCATCCCCGGCGCGGCATACCGGCGCGCTCTACATGCTCTTTTCTATTCGGTCACCCCTTCCAAATATCGCGAAAGCGACTGCCCCAAATGGCCCGGCGCGCTGTTCACCGCCGCTTGGTGGGTCAGCATGACCGCCTTGTTGCCCGTCGTGCTGTCGCAATCCGGGCGGTTACGACCTGACTTATGGGCAGCCCGCCGGTGTCGTCGTGATGCTGTTGTTCTTCTATTTGATCGGTCTGGGTCTGGTTTTCGGCGCGCATTTGAACGCGGCACTGGCGGAACCGCCTGAACCGGCGCTAGAGAGGGCGATTGAAGATGGTGAACCGGCAGGAGCGGTAACGGCGTGAACGGATTGATGGCAGGCAAGGGGGCTCATCATGGGCCCGCCAATGACAAATCGCTGGCCCGCATCGCCAAGCAGCTGGAGGCGGGCGCGGAGCCTCGCCTTTTCGTATCAGGGTGCGGCGATGGAAAAGCGGGTCCGCCTGCTGGCTGAACAATTGGGCGTGGCGCGTCTGTTCGACTGCGACGTCCCGAGATGGAATCGCCCGACAAGCTGTTCGACGATCTGAAGGGCGAATGGCCGACGATCGATTTCGTCGTCCATGCGATCGGCTTTTTCGGACAAGTCGCAGCTGCGCGGGCGTTACTACGACACGACGCTCGACAATTTCCTGATGACCATGAACATCTCGGCCTATTCGCTGGTCGCGGTGGCCAAGCGCGCACGTGAGATGATGCCTGAGGGCGGATCGATCCTGACGCTGACCTATTATGGCGCGGAAAAGGTCATCCCGCATTACAATGTCATGGGCGTGGCCAAGGCGGCGCTTGAGACGAGCGGAAGTATCTCGCGGTCGATCTCGGCCCGAGAATATCCGCATCAACGCCATCTCGGCGGGCCTGATCCAGATAAGGAGCGCGCGGCATCGGCGACTTCAACTATATCCTGAAGTGGAACGAGCTGAACTTCGCCGCTGCGTCGCACCGTGACGATCGAGGATGTGGGCGGCGCCGGTCTCTATATGCTGTCCGATCTGGCATCGGGCGTGACGGGCGAGATCCACCATGTCGACGTTGGTACAACGTCATCGGCATGAAGGCCGAAGACGCACCGGACATCGCGCTGGCGTAACTTTTCCTCCCCTGCAGAGAGGGGACCAGCGAAGCTGGTGGAGGGGTACCGGCAGCGAGGTCAGACTGCCATCGCCAACCGTGACACCCCTTCGTCAGGCCTGCGGCCTCGCCACCTCCCCTTCTAGGGAGGAATAGGCGGCCAACATTATCTATCGCGTCTTCCGCCACCGGCCCGCCAAAGACGAACCCATGTCCGACCAGCCCCCCGCCGACATCACCATCCGCCCGCGCGCGGCGAAGATGTCGCCGCGCTCGACGCGCTTCGTCGCCAGTTTTCCCGCGCCCGCCGAAGCCGCCCCGTCCGCGACCTGTGCGTCGAGGGCGACATGGTCCTGATGCTGGTCGCGGTCGATGAGGAAACGGACAGTCTGATCGGCGCGATCGCGTTTAGTCGCATGAGCGTCGAAATCGGTGGCAAGCCGATCAACCGGTCGCGCTCGCCCCCATCGCCGTCGCGCGCGAATGGCGCCAGCAGGCGTCGGCGAGGCACCGGTCGCCGCTGACCGGAACGATTGGAGCAGGAGGGTGTGGTCCCCTGCTTCGCGCTTGGCGATCCCGGTTTTACGGCTGGTTCGGTTTCGCCGCCGATGTGGCGAGCGGTTTCGACAGCCCCCCCATGCGGGCGACTATTTCGGCGGTGCTGCTGCAGGGCGGCTTGATCCCCTGCGGCGTGCGCGGGGTGTTACCCATGCGCCGGCCTTTGCCCGGCTTGAGACGCTGCGTGCGAGCTTCAACAGTTTCGGGCCGCCTGTTCCGCTTCACCACCGGGCGAGAGCTATGGGGTTCGCGCTGGGCGCAGTTGTGGACGGTTGCCTGCCGGGGATCACGCTGTCGGAAGAAGATATTCAGCCCCTCGCTCGACAAGCGCCGCCCGGGTACCAGCCGCTTCACGACGCAACGGCGCGAGCCCGATCAGGTCCGCATTCTGTCGGGCGCGTGTTCGAGGGGCGGACGACCGGCACGCCGATCAGCCTGATGATCGAGAATGTCGACCAGCGGTCCGCGACTATTCGAACGTCGCGCTCGCCTATCGCCCCGGCCATGCCGATTACGCCTATGACGCGAAATACGGCTTTCGCGACTATCGCGGCGGCGGGCGCTCTCGGCGCGCGACGGCGGCACGGGTCGCGGCGGGTGCCGTGGCGCGGGCGGTCATCCTGCAAGTCCGCATCCGCGCTCGGGTCGAGGCGATCGGCGGCGACCGGATCGACTACGACGCGTTCGACGATGCGCAGATCGACGCCAACCCTTTTTCTGTCCTGATGCCGCCGCCGCCGAACGCTGGGAAGCGATCGTCGATGGCGCGCAAAATCGGGTTCTGTCGGTGGAGCGGTCGTCGCCTGCGAGGCGACCGGAGTGCTGGCCGGCTGGGGGGCGCCGCTCTACGCCAAGCTGACAGCGAGCTCGCCTCCGCCTGTATGGAGCATCAACGCGGTCAAGGGCTTTTTGAGATCGGCGACGGCTTGCCGCCGCCGCACTGACCGGCGAGCAGAATGCCGATCCGATGCGCGCCGGCAATGGCGGCCCCGCTTCCTTGCCAACCATGCGGGCGGGATCGGGGGGATCGCCACCGGCCAGCCGGTGACGATGCGTGTCGCGTCTGCCGACCAGTTCGATCCTGACCCCGTCGACACCATCACCCGTACCGGTGAGGAAACCCAGATCGCGACCAAGGGCCGTCACGACCCCTGTGTCGGCATTCGCGGCGTTCCCGTGGTCAAGCGATGGTCGCCCCGGTTTTAGCCGATCAGGCGTTGCTTCATCGCGGCCAGTGTGGTTGAATAGAGGAACGTGCACCATCCCGCCTCGTTGATGACGACGAGAACAAAGCAGGAGAGAATCAATGCGTTATATGCATGGATCGCCGCCGGTGCCTTTTGATCCCCGCCGCTGGTTTTGCGCAGGTATCGGTAGCGCGACGGGTGGGATGTCTGGACAGACCGGCACCACGACGGGTCAGACAATGCCCGGCAGATGCTGGGCCAAACCACGATGCCCGGCCAGACCACCATGGGCCAGCTGGACACGATGACGACGACGCCGAGCACCACCACCCGCCTGACGACGCGCAGCAAAGCCGCAGCCGGACGACCACGCCCGACAGCACGGTAAACACGCCGTCGACGCTGCCGGATCCCACCGGCTCCTCGACGACGACGGGTAGCGGCTCGCTGGGCAGCGATCCCACGACCAGTGGGGTCGATGGGTAGCGGCACCACGGGCGGCACCACCACGCCCCCGGGCAGCAGCGGCGGCATGCGCTGATCCTTCTGGATAAGCGTCACTACGGAAAAGGCCCGGTCGCGAAAGCGGCCGGGCCTTTGTGACGGCCGTGAAGCGGAAACCTGCTATCAAAAAGGCCCGACTGCCGCCGGGGCCTTCCCAATCAATCCGCGAACGGTCGCGAACCAAGATCGTATCCTCGCGTTCCGGCTGGTTGACACCAGCGCCACGGGGCAGCGGATCAGTTCCTCGATCCGCCGGATGTATCGCCTGATCGCCTGCGCCGGCAGATCCGCCCAGCTCCGCGCTCCCGCGGTCGATCCTGCCAGCCCTTCCATCGTCTCATAGACGGGAACGACCTTCGCCTGATCCGCTGCATGGGTTGGGTAATAGTCCAGCGTTTCGTCGCCCAGCTTGTAGCCGACGCAGATCTTCACCGTCGAACCCATCGAGCACGTCGATCTTGGTCAACGCGATGCCGGTGATACCGCTGACCGCCGCTGACTGTCGCACCAGCACCGAGTCGAACCAGCCGCAGCGACGCTTGCGGCCCGTGACCGTGCTGAACTCATGGGCCGCGCTCGCCGAGACGCTGGCCGGTTTCGTCCTCCAGCCTGGTCGGGAAAGGCCCAGAACCGACGCGGTGGTGTACGCCTTGGCGATGCCCAGCACGAAGCCGACACCTGACGGCCCCAGCCCGAACCGCCCGCCGCCGCACCCGCAATGGTGTTGACGAGGTGACGAAGGGATAGGTGCCATGGTCGATGTCGAGCAGCACGCCCTGCGCGCCCTCGAACAGGATGCGCTTGCCCTGCCCGCGCCTCGTGTGAGGTCGCGCCACACCGGCTTGGCGAAGGGCAGGACGAAAGCGGCGATCTCGCGCAGATCGGCCAGCAGGCGCTCGCGATCGATCGGCGGCTCGCCGAACCTGGCGCGCAGCGCGTCATGGTGCGCGCACAACCGGTCGAGCTGCGGCCCCGTCGTCGAGATGCGCCAGATCGCACACGCGGATCGCGCGGCGACCGACCTTGTCCTCGTACGCCGGACCGATACTGCGCTGCGTCGTACCGATCTTGCCTGCGCTGCTCATCATCCTCGCGCAGACCGTCGAGGTCGCGGTGGATGGGGAGGATCAGCGGACAATTGTCGGCGATCTGCAACGTCTCCGGCGAGGCATGAACGCCCTGCTCGCCGAGACGCCGATCTCGGCCTTCAAAGCCTGTGGGGTCGAGGACAACGCCATTGCCGATGACGCTGGGGGTGCTGCGCACGATGCCCGAGGGCAGCAACGATGCTTGTAGACATTCTCGCCGACGACCAGCGTGGCCCGCATTATGCTCCGCCCCCGAAGCGCACGACCATGTCGGCGCGCTCGGCCAGCCAGTCGACGATCTTGCGCTCGCCCCTCGTCGCCCCACTGCGCGCCGATGACTGCTGGCATTTGCCATGGATGCCAATCTCCGCCTGCCGGACGGACCCCATGCGCCCTTCGACAGGACCTCGGCGGATGGGGTTTCAACGATGTGCGGGCGCGCCTAGCGGACGCGGCCCCTGCATGTCAACCGACGATGGCGGTCGGCTGACCATCCTTCAGGATATGAGTGCAGAGCTGCGCCTCGGGCGTGTCGCCGTCCTCCAGCGCCTGCACTGTCACCCAGCCCTCCGCCCGGAGCGATGCGCCCGTCGCGGGCTGGTGCCGAAGGGCAGAACAGTCGCCGCCGTTCGGGGCGGCGCTGTCGCAACGATCGCGTCGGCGTAGAGCGAGAAGCCGGTGGCCTTTCCTCGGCACCATCCTCATGGAAAATGGTGTAGGTGCCGCCACGCCCGACCCGCGCGGCGGGCCAGCGACGAACAGCGAGAAACCCAGCCAGCTCTGGAACTCGAAGCCATGCCGCCTGTCGGGTCGAGGTGAGGGACACGCCTCCCCAACGCCGCCGCAATCGCCTCCAGCGCGTCGAGACGGCTGGCAAGCACGCCCCGGGTATCAGCGCACGCAGCCGCCGATGGCGGTGCTGAACGGTCCGGCGGCCTCGACCAGCGGCAGATAGTCCGGCGCGATCGCCGCCACCCCGCCCGCATCCTTGGCATCCAGCCTGTCGCGCAAGGCCGCCACCCGATCCGCCGCCACCGGCAGAGGGCCGGCCGCCAGCAGGTCGACCAGATCGGGGAGCGTGAAGTCGATCGAAATACCGGTCGTACCAGCGGGCGATCAGCGCCTCGACCGCGACGCGCACCACTTCGGTCGCCGCCGCCGTCGAGTCGAGCCCGATCAGCCCGCCCCGATCTGCCGCCACTGCGCGCAGGCGCCAGTTCGGAGCCGCGCAGACGCACGACTGTGCCTCCATAGGACAGCCGCACCGGGCGCGGATGATGCCCCATCCGCGTCGCCGCGATCCGCGCCACCTGCGCGGTCAGATCGGGCCGATGGCCAGCGTACGCTGCGACACCGGATCGACGAAGCGCACCGCATCATGCAGCCCCCGCCTTCAACCGCGACCCCAGCGCCTCGGCGAACTCGATCGACGGCGGATCG